TGTTCTCAGACAAGTTGAAGCTGATAAAACTGAAATAAGAGCTCTCCACAACTCTCATTTGACAAGTTTGCAAGGAGAAATTAGTCAGCTGAAGGAGGAACTTTTTGTAAAAAGCCAAAGTTTGTCAGCTTTGAATAGCAACCACGACGAACTAAAATTGAAATATAATATGCTAATGGCCGAGAAAGATGAGGCGACTGCCATGGTTCACACACTTGTAGCAGATAAAGAATCCAGAGAATCTCATGTCCATGAATTGGAGAGTCACCTGCAACATCTACAAGAAGAGGAGGAGGGCTTGATTGCAGGATCTGAAATCCAGAACAAACAAATCGATGATTTGAAATTGAGACTCTCAGAGATGCAGGAAGAGGTGAATAGGCAAATGAATATGATAGAGGATGGGGCTGAGAGGAAAAGGGAGGCCATAAGGCAGCTCTGTTTCTCTTTGGAGCACTACAGGAGTGGCTATAAAGAGCTTCGTGAAGCATTCATTGGGCACAAACCGCGCCAGGTACTCTCTGCATAGGTCTGTTGCCAGTCAAATCTTTAAACTTATTACCATGTCAGTTTTTCTGTTGTGCACTTTTATGAGTTTATGAGCAATATTATTCAGTTGATTTTTGAACATGGTTTAAGAATTGAATATTATGGTAAAATATTTAGCCCAGTTGTAGGGATGATGAATATTTTTGACGGCTTTGGTTTAAATCAAATGAGAGTACATTAAATTACAAACCACACAAAATTGCCCTTGAGATATACAGGCAGATAAAATTTGATGTGAAAACTGCTACGTCTTATTAGTCCAAATTAAGCTCGTGTTGTGGGGTGAAGAAGCCAACTTTTGGTGAGCCATTGAGGGGCTTCTCGAATTGCACAAATACAGATTCCTCTGTGATGATCCAGTTCCCATCATCTGACTTCTCTGAAGATTTTGAACAACTCTAACAAACAGAATAGACAACATGAAGGCGAATGTAGTTAAATAATGATAACAAAATCAGAAAGTCATGTGGTTAAACATAATTGTACAGTAACAAACTAGAACGACTGCAAAAATAACATGCAAATGTGAGAGTTAAAACCATCGACCTTTTAGGTAGTAATTTGTACTTTATCGATTCAGTTATGCTCGAATTGGTAGAAACAAATCATTTGTTATTGGAGATATTGGTCAAATATAACTAAGAGCGAGCAAGTTTTCTCTTTTAAGTATAGTGGGGTGTTGTGTGTGAATGAGGATAAATTGTAGCAGCCTAAGCCAAATGCTAGTAGATATTGTTCTCTTTAGACTTTTCCTTCTAGGCTTCTCCAACGCGTCTACTAGGTAGAGATTTCTACACCCTTATAAGGAATGTTCCGTTCTCCTCTCCAACCAATGTGAGATCTCACAATTCACCCCTGTTGGGGACCAGCGTCCTCGCTGGCACACCGCTTGATGTTTATCTCTGATACCATTTTGTAACAGCCCAAGCCACCGCTAGCAGAGGAAAAGCCCAAAGAGGACAATATCGACTAGCGGTAGGCTTGGATTGTTACATAAATGCATCACCAAAACAAGAAATTATTTTCTTTATGAAAAAAAAAAAACGATATTAGTATTTCTCCTCTACCGTCTCAAAAGTAGTATAAAAACAGGCTAAGATATGCGGGTCTATTTGCAACGACCTTCTAAGTGCTTAACAACATTGTTTTTTTCCCTCCATATAATAAGCCATTCCAAACAAGTCCTTCATCTACCTACTTTACTTTACTTTACTTTATAAAAAAAAGGAAAAGAGAACTCACTTCAGAACACGTATGTACCAAAAGCGTCATCCAGTTCCAAGTCTCCAGCAACTGTTTTTGACTTTCATCAGCTGCTTCCTGCAGAAAATATAGCAGTGGGGGCATTAGCTGCATTTCAAACTGCCTTGATCCACCACATGCCTTGCACTTCCCAGCTTCTCCGTCCTCAGCTCTAGCCAAAATCGGCTTCCCACCATACGAGTATCTGAAAATACCAACAGGACAAAAGTAAAAAGAAAACGGTTTTATAAATATATCGATAGGTTGCGATCAACCTAATAATGTCAATAAATTAATGGGCTAAACTGTACACCAAAACTTGTACTCACAATCCATGGAAAACATAAGTCTAAATAATAAGATGATAAGAAAACAATAGATTACGGGAATATAATACCTGAAACATTGTTCTGGATATGCATCCAATTTTTTCTTGAACTTGAGGTAAGTTCTATCAGCAGTAAGAGCCTGGTCATATTCGTAACCTTCTTCTGACCACTTTTCTTCTTCCGCATCACTTTGATTCTCCTTTATAGAGAGTGATGCATAATTGTTACAGATAGAAATATCCTTCGAAGATGGTTTGTCTTCCATATAGATATAAAAGCATGGTACCACTGCAAATGGACAGATGTGATCCAACATTTCAAGTGTTTCTAAATCCACAAATAAAACAAATAAATAGTGAAGTAAGAAGTAAACAACAATGCAGGTTTTCAAATACTTCGGGTGTAACAGCCCAAGCCCACCGCTAGTAGATATTGTCCTTTTTAAGCTTTCCCTTCTACTAGGGAAAATTTTTTAAAACGCATCTACTAGAGAAAGGTTTCCACACCCTTATAAGGAATGCTTCGTTCTCCTCTACAACCGATGTGGGATCTCACAATCCAACCCCATTGCCGGCCAGTGTCGTCCTCGCTGGCACAATGTTTAGCGTCTAACTTTGATACCACTTGTAACAGCCCAAACCAACCGCTAGAAGATATTGTCCGATTCGGACTTCCCCTCAAGGTGATTATTCCTAGCTCAGTAACTTCCTTGGCCTTATAAGGGATCTCTTATCCCTTCCTAGTACCTCCTTAAAATCGCTAATTTCTGATATTTCTTGGTTTCTATCAAAAAGAATTGGATAGTGTCCAGACACCATACCTGGTGTTTTCACATCAACCACTCTTGCTGAGCTCAAATTCAAACTATTTGAGACAGTCTTCGAATGCGATTTACTAGGAGTTCTCTTGGCATGAGAAACTTCAGTTGCAACCTCTGAAAATGCCCTTTCTAGCTCCTCTAAATCCACTTCTTCATCGTTTTCGTCATCCAGTTGCTCCCACCAGTTGGTCTTTGGAGCTGAAGTTGATGTTGTCAAAGGGCCAATTTCTTGAGAAACTTTCAAGAACTCCTGGTCGGGTACCTTTTGAACACGAAGAACTCGCCAACTGCACACCCCAAGAGAGGAAAGCCAAAAGGCATATTAGAGCTATAATAACTGATACTCCATCAGCCAAATAGATTCAGGGGAAAATTAACACTGACCCAAGTGAACTGCTCCCACATTCTGGAGTTAGACAACCAAAAACAAGGAGGAGACGCTCATCTATCCTTGTTCTTTCTATGGAAACTGGAGCATAAATCTTCAAGGAAGCACAACTACCATAACTATAACTACTTATATATATATATATATACATATATATATATATAAAAGGGGAAAATATAAGTTACAAAATTTAAAAACATGAGATAAAATCACCTGTAAAACAAGACATAATTTATTTCCACACTGAGAACAGTCTAGCAGAGTGGGATTGACATTTTGAAAAGGTAAGTCCTGTTGAAGCAATAATCAAATTTACCATTAAAAATATATATATACATCCGTACTTAAGAATATCATGTACACCAGCAACTTACAGGAAGCCCCCCAACTTTTGTAGTATAATGATCAGAGGCTTCAAGATTATCATCAGCCCAAGGCCCTGGAAAACCTAGAATCACTTCACCCATCGCTTCCCTCTGCTAAACAAGTAACAATGCTTTAACTTTTAGCCTCAAGACTTATGCCTGAACATTGATTGAAGAAGAAATCAACGAAAAAACTCTTTGCTTCTTGCTTTTCTTCTTCGAAGGCGAACAGAATAACCAACGTAAACCAACAAAAGAAACAGAAGAAAAAATCAAAACCTTGGGTATCTAAAAGATGAAAGGCGGCAGTGCTATCTCGCCAACGGCGCGGGTTAGGGGCTGAGCCACTATGTTTCTGAGAAAGAAAACGAAGTTAAATAATTCTGATTGGTCGGAGAGGCGAGAGAATGTGAGAGGGAGGGAGCGGCGGCGATTTCGTCGGAAGGATGAGACTGCGGCAGCACAAATTGCAGCGACACGGCGTGCCGCGGAGCAAAAATTGGGGCGGGTGAAAAGGGTTTAGAGAAAAGGAAAGCTAGGATGGTTAAAATAATTTTAAAAAGAAATTAATTTAAGTTTAAATTTATTTTCAGATTCCATTTAATTTTTAACACAAAATAGCATTACAGTTAACCCAAAAAATCACCTAATTTTTAAATAAATAGAGTAAAAGAAAAAAAAAAACTAGAGATAAAAAATCAAGACTATTGAGTGCTAATGTATTGTATTTTTAGAAAGAATATTTGTAAATATTATATTATTAATTTATTTAAATTTAAAGTCAACATTACAACAGCTATGTAAATTTAATGTTTAATATGATGAATTTAGAAGTAAAATTTAAAAATCCAAAATTATTGATTAAATTTATTTCTATGATTTAATAGTCAATTTATTCCATTAATTTGGGTCCAAGGTTTCCATCTATTTATTTATTTATTATTATTATTATTGAAGTAACAATAATTTAATTTTATCTTACACACTTTAAGCATGGCAAAATTTGTGGCTAAGCCACCAAGAATTCCAAACAATCGGTATCATTATTAAATAGCAACCGATTTTCCTCTCACAAGCTTATCAACAATTTTGGAAAACAACTAGGAGGTGGAGTGGTCCCCACGATGACGTCACCCATGTACAATCCCGAAAATACTTCATTTTGTAATATAATAATATTTTTTACTAATATCTTAGTCACGTGGCAGGAATCAATTGGATTCCCTGGGTCCAGTCAACCCCGATATTTTTTCCCCTTTTTTCCGTCTGAAAGGAAAACGGCTCCGTCCTTTTGACTTCAATCCCTCCCATAGAACTTCTTCTTGTTCTTCTTTTGCTGCGGGATGGGCACTATTTGTCTCTTACTCGGAGGGAATGTTGAACTCAGGGCCTGGACTTATCTCTCCTTGAGGAACTGCGAGGATTTTGGAAATTTCATTTTGGTTCCTCTTGTTTTTATGCTTCGCGTATAACAAGAGAGCTTCATGCAAAATTTATCGTGCTCTCTGTCGTCCACAGGTTCTTATCTCTCTCTCTCTCTCTCTCTCTCTGCGAAATCTTCCGTTAACTATATTGTTTTGTGTTGGTCTCATCTACTGTACAGATTCCTGTTTGATTTTCCTCGATCTGGTCAATGTTCTTCGAGCATGTTCTGTTTTTCAATTTCGGAAGTGTTTGGATGGCGAGTTGTTTTCTGGTTTTATTTGCTCTTTTATTCTCATTTATTTCTGAATTTTGTGGATTCTCTTCTGCCCTGCCTCATGTGTTGGAAATGAACTCGTCGTTGCTTTACTTGTTCTTGTCTCATTTTCTGAGCTAATGCTGTGTAATCCGAGAAGTAGGGATAATCTGATGGTTTATGAAATTAGTGCTCATGTGGTGTTAAGATTGAATTGGTTATTGAAGGTTTGACTTCTCTTTATGATTTCTGATAAATTGAAACTATCCTAAATTATCAAATATGAAATTGAACTTTTAGAGTTGGTATGCGAAATGGTTTGGTGGTGATTTAAAACTTTTGTGTGCCTTTATAATTAAGTAAATGTCTAAATGCTTATGTGACTGCAGATTTATGGAAAGTCTTCATTTATTGCTGAGGTGTGGGCATTAGGTGTTTGGAGTGCCAGTGTTTTGAGCATTATGGCCACTGGATTGACTGCTAAAATTCGATTGGTTAAGTGTCCTAGATGTCATCGGCTTCTTCCGGAGTTGCCTGATATTCCTGTTTACAAATGTGGTGGATGTGATGCAATTCTCGTAGGTAAATACTCCTCCGCATATCTAACAGATTAGGTAGCTTTCAGGGGAACTAACGAAAGCCACTGACCTTTCATTTCCATTATGCAAGTATGTTTCAGATTTTGATGCTTGAAGTTTGAAAGTTTTAGGATAAGGAGGGAAAACGACTTTGATATAGGGCATTTTGTATGAACACGTCTCGAGTTCTTATATCTTTTCTATCTTCTGCATTTTTGTGAGATCCCACATCGGATGGAGAGGAGAACAAAGCATTTATTATAAGTGTGTGGAAACCTCATTCTTAGTACACGCTTTTTAAAAATCTCGAGGGGAAGCCCGAAAGGGAAAGCCCAAAGAGGACAATATCTGCTAACAGTGGGCTTACAAATGGTATCAGAGCTCGACAATGGGGGGTGTGCTAGCAAGGACGCTGGCCCCGAAGGAGGGTAGATTGTGAGATCTTACATCGATTGGAGGGGGGAACAAAACATTCTTTATAAGGGTGTGGAAACCTCTCCCTTTTTAAAAACATTAAGGGGAAGTCCGAAAGGAAAAGTCTAAAGAGGACAATATCTGCTAACGGTGGGCTTAGGCGGTTACAATTTTACCTACATGTGATTACTGTTGTTCTTTTTTGAACCTCTTATCGATTTACCTTGATCCTACTTGCAGCTAAAAGTCGAAGAGAGAGTTCTCACGACACGGAGTTGGGCTCACAAAACAGGGATTCTGCCCAGAGGCGTGAAGTTGGCCCCCTTTCTGTGGAGAGGCAGCCTAGCATTTCAAACCACGAAGCAATTATTCCACCCCATGACGAGTCTACTTCGGGATTAAACAATGATAGAGATGCAAATGAATCTGGAGAAAGGAGCAATGAGGAGCTTGTTCATTCATCTTTGAGCGTGCAAAGGAATGCTAGAAATGATGATGGATCTCATCACGAGAATGGCGAACTCTCTGATGGAGATCTCTTAAAAGTAGAGGTAGCTAGCATTTCTTCATCGAGTCCTGAAGCAATTATTTCATCCTCTGGCGAGTATGTCGTAGATCCTGATGTTGAGGAGGTCCAAGACAAATCTGGAGATAGTTGCCGCGAGCAACTTGTTCATAAGAAGTTGGATGAACGCCAAAGCTATGCTGGAAACAACAATGAATCTCGTGCTGGTAATGGCAAGCCATCAGGATTTTCAAATCAAGTTTATTATGAAGAAGAGTGCACTTATCATGAGAATAGTATTTCAAGTCATGAAGCAACTATCCCATCCTCAGGTAAGTGTTTTATTGACCCGAATGATGCGAAGGATCGGAAAGAATCTGCGGGTGAGCAGCTTGCTCATATTAAGTCAAGTGAATGCCTAAAGAATGCTAGAAGCAATGGTGAATCTCAGGCTTGCCACGACGAGCAGCTGAGCTGCTCAAATCAATCCTATTCTAGAATTGAATTTGCTTCTCATGGGAATGATGAACTCTCAGGACCAGATCCTACAAAAGCAATGGAAACTAGCACTTCAAGTCATGAAGTAATAACCGTTCCATTCTCGGGCGAGTCTGTTTTGGATCAAAATGATGACAAAGATCAAAAGGAAGAAGAAGACAACCACAGCGAGCAACTTGTTCAGGTATCTTTGAATGAAGGTGTTAATCGTGAAAATGACAAGCTCTCGAGTCGAGACCCTTCAGAAGATGAAAGGCTTGATGAGATCTTACTGTCAGGAGAAGGAAGTCCAGAAGCTGATGATAGGAAGGAGATTCATTCTAATTTAGAAACCTCAGGTATTTCGATTGCTGTAGCTACGAGTTCGATTATTTATCCCGATACAAAAGTAGGGACAAGTATTTCATCTAAGAATCTTTCTCCTCTTGCTGAACGAGCAGAGGCACCTGAGGAAACTATTAGCCATGATTTTGATCATCACATTCCTGTAGAAAATTTTGGATGTATGGAAGTGAATCGATGCTCTGAACCTAGTGGTGCCCTTCCTGGTATGGTCAAATCTTTAACAACCAAAAGTTACTTTGCATATGATGGAATGGATGATCGGTTCTCGGACCGTCATCGACGTTCATTAAAGAACACTCATGAAGCTGTGAACTTTCTTTCCACTGTAGAAGGTCCAAGAAGGCAAGAGTCGTTGATGAAAAATAACGCAGTGGTGAGAGATTCTGACATTCCAATTGAAGCAGGGAGTTCCCAGGAAATTTTGCCTCACGAAAAGCATTACGACATAGCATACCTTGAAAGGAATCAAAACGATATGTTGCAACATAGAAGACATGGTATTTCAATGCAAAGTAGAAGCAGGTTAAGACGAGAGAAATACCAAAGTAAGTCGTCGTTACTCAGAAGCAACCTCGAAGGTGACCGTGAAAATGGCAGTGCTTCGAATTCCACGATCAACGGGCCTCATGATTCAAGAATGCATTCATCAGAAAATTTTGTAGACCCTGATGAGGAAAAGGTTAGATTGTTGAGAATGGTTTATGAACTGCAGGATCAGCTAGAGAAAAGCTGCAATCTAAATACGAACACCGGTGGACGGGTATCCACGGGATCCGTGCAGAAGGATACATGGGCGCCAATGTACAACAACCAGCAGATTTCTCAGGAGGAAAGCTGGCATGAATCAGAACATCCTTATTACTTCCGAAGAAGTGGACCTCAAACTAATTATCCCGGACAACATTCTTTGTCACGGATGACTTCTGCTGCAAAGGCTGTCAGTGGTCCTCAAAATAATTGCTTCAGCATGGAACAGTTCCCTGACAACATCCCTCCCTTGATGCAGCGGCGTTCATCTGAAGTCTGGCATAATCGAGGGGCCCGTATGGCGCATATGGATCACGACTATTATAGTCAATACAACTCATGTGCATCTAGTCCCCAACATTTTCATTGCACGCAGTTGCCTGCAAGGGGCATTCAAATGCAGTCTGATCAGTCGAGTCATGGAAATCTTGAGATGAACTATTTGAGAGAGAAAAGACATTTGGCCAAGCATCATCTACGGCCTATGGCTGGAGGCGCCCCTTTTATAACTTGTTACCACTGCTTGAAGTTACTGCAGATTCCTGCAGAATTTCTCTTGGTGAAAAGGCCATGTAATCGGCTCAAGTGTGGTCATTGCTCGAAGGTTCTCGAGTTTTCTCTTTGGAACCGAACGCATATTGTTCCATATATACAGAATGTTGCAGAACCACCACCATATGAGGCCGAGGAACACAATGACTATGCTCTCACTATCGGCAACCGTGGCTCCAGAGAAATAGATGATTCGATTGTCTTACCGCATTCATCCCACCGAGGCATGGAGAAAGAACTTAGTTCGAAATGGTCCTCGAACAAATTCGAGAGTCTAAAGAAAAGTTACCAGTCTGGTGATCCGTCCTCCAAAGTTGGAAAACTCTCAACCGAGTCAGTTTCCCCACTTCATCGACTCATGGGATATTCTTCTCCAAGCCAAGTCTTTAGAGGGTTAGATGCATCAAGAAGAAGCATGCAGAGGGAATACTAAGGTAGTGTTTGGTTGACAGATAAAATGAGAATGAAAGTATGAAAGGAATGGAATGGTAACTAGATATTAGAGCTGAGGAACTGATGAAGCTGAAACGATCGGGATCTGCTAACGTTACAATGCATCACGAGCTCGACAATGTTCTCTGCTCTCTCCCACGTAGAATAATGTATGTAAAAATCCATTACAGATATGAACTGAAGAGGGGTGTCAATATGTTCGTTAATAATAGAGACAGGAATCAGTTATGTAAAGGCTATGTATATTACATTCTTATTCTTATGTAGAAGGGAAAAGACAATTGTATTTCACTAATTGGAGCGATTTACTGGTTAATTATATGGGTTTATATGAAAAAAAAATCATAGTTTTTATTTATGTTATAAGAAACTAATATTGCGAAAAAAAACTATATATTATTTGAAACATTTTTAGAAAATAAGAAATTAATATCAGAATGGTTTCTAAACATTTTTGTTGCAATATAATATCATAATTATAATCAATATTATGAAAATGCTAAATAGAAATATTAATAAATAAATTTCAAAAAAGAGAGAGAGAGAGAGAGCACTAAACCCTAAAAATAAGATTTAAAGAACCGGGTAGGGCCATTTTTGTAGTTATGTCTGGAGGCCGAACCAAACCGATTCTGCGTCACTGTGACGATCGCTTAAATGATAGATCGGTCGAAATCGAGTCGCTTACCCAAAACGACGTATCGAACAGTGAATGGAAGTTTAATTCATTGGGTTTCCTGCGTCTCTTGTAACCCTGCAGTTTAGGCTTAATGTATTTTATCTGTAATTTTACATGAATATCCTCTCTCAACCGGAAGAATTGGGCATGTTCATCATGGTCGCGCGCCAATAATCAAACTCTTATCTTCCAGGTCAAGTTTTTCCTTTCTGACACCTTAATTTTTCTTGGATTTATAGTTGTAGGACTTCATTTTCTGGTGATATCTTCTTCAATTGTATGGCTGTTTCCCAGGCTCAGGTTTTGTTTCATCTTCTTTTCTGACATCTTAGTCTAAATTTGTAGTATTTCTTGTTCTGGTGAAGTTCTGGTGAAGTTCTCTTGAATTTTATGATTTGGGTTTGGTGGCTGTTTATGGTGCAGATGCAACGCCTCTTTCTCCACATATGTCTGCATATTTTTGTTATGTACTTATGAATATACGTTTGCATATTTGATTTCAGTTTTCCAACTATATAGGATTTTGTGTGCGTAACTTATTGAGTAGTGGCTTTATATTCCCTTTCATTTAGATAATCATTTGAGTTAGTCTTATCCGTTGTAGGCTTACTGCTACTATAACTTGCCTTTTTCCAAAATTACATATTGAAACTTTTAGTCCTCTCTATTTTTGTTAAAATAGTTATAGAATGGGTAGAAGGAAGCAAAAGCAACCTCATCGCTCTGGTGGAATAAGATTTGAAGATCGCGTGAATCCCAAGACAGAGGTTGATGGTAATGGGATTGTGGAAACTGTAGAATCATCAGACATCAAACTTGATGAGGGTAAGGAGCCATTTTTTGTGGAAGTTGATCGAACTGGATGGCATTCCAATGAGCACCATGATATTTCTGAAGTTGTTCTGATGGATATAAGGTTAGAACACCCTTTTGTTGGTATACGATCAGAAGAAATTTTTTGTGAGAGCTCGAGATACTCGTTAAGGTTTCGTTTGTGCAATGACAATGGATTTCTCCTTGATCGTATTAAGTTTGGTCATTGGCCGGTTTTATCTTCAAATGAAATATCGTTGGAACTAATTGAGAGACGCATAGAGGAAGATATGAATGGTTGCTCGGTGGTGTTATCAGGTAGTTTTGATGGACCTGATGAGGCCATATCTGGCCTTGTTCATCTTGCAAATCTGAAGTTTGTGACATTGAGGCCAGTTATGGGTGTTTCCTTTTCCCAAAATATGGGATCTCTCAGGTTGAGGGTGGAAATATTATCGAGTGCTTTTGATGCCTGTGGGTCAATATTAGATAGTGGCAGGCAGTTGTGGAAAAAGAGTATGATGAATACCATTGCTTGGTTGCGTCCTGAAGTAGTATCATCAGAGGTCAAGTATGGAGTTGTTGAATCAACTAATATGGAAGCTCATTTGCATCGTGAGACAGGGGATGATGCATCCAGCTCCAGGAAACATGTAAATTTTGATTCTGTTGCCTTTTATGATGCCATTAAGCCATCAAAGTGAGTGTAATTAGTGCTCATGTACTTGTGTGTTCTGTTTCACTTTATAGAACGTTTACATTTTCCCCCCAGTTTGGCACTACTGATGACATAAGTTCATTGTAGAGATGATCCCATGCTTGATGAAGACATACCCAATTTGCTTCCAAAACTAAGACCTTATCAGCGTCGTGCAGCCTACTGGATGGTACAACGGGAGAAAGGATTTTCGAGAAATTTTGGTGTGGGAGAAAACGGGCAGCTTATTTCTCCCCTGTGTATGCCCCTGGAATGTCTTGATACTCGTTTGAGAATGTTCTACAATCCTTTCAGGTATCAACTTCTTTACTTTTGAGCATGGCTTTGTGAAGTGAATAAAGTTGAAAAATATGTGCTTGTCTATGTAGTTAGGAACACCTACTTCTCCTCTTGTATTCTTACTTAAGTTTATCTCCAGTGGAGATCTTACTTGGAATGCAGAGCAAACTTTACCGCATGTTTACGGGGGCATTCTAGCTGGTAAATGCCACTAATTAGAATCATTACATCTTCCAAAACTAGGCATTTCAGCACTTAACACTGATGCAATTAGCTATTCTTATGGTCTTTATTTTGTCTGAATGATTCGATGTATACAGATGAAATGGGTCTGGGAAAAACTATTGAACTACTGGCTTGCATACTTTCTCATCCAATGTCAGTGTTCAAAGGTGGAAAAGGTTTTGAGGATGAAATGCAACAACTTGTTGAAGATCAGAGAACCAAATTTAAAAGATTAAAGAGGGAGCGTGTTGAGTGTGTGTGTGGAGCTGTTAGTGAAAATCACAGATACGAAGGGTTGTGGGTACAATGTGATATTTGTGACGCATGGCAACATGCTGACTGCGTTGGTTATTCACCTAAAGGAAGAATTCTCGAACCCGTTGACACTAAGGATGGGAACTGTAGAAAGGACAAGACAAATAAAAGGAATACAGTAAATGTAACTGTTAGAGATGAGGAACATGTTTGTATGCCATGCTTAGAGCTGATGCAGGCTACTGATTCCCCAATGACTACAGGTGCAACTCTAATTGTCTGTCCAGCTCCCATATTATTCCAGTGGCATGCCGAGATTTTACGGTATACTCTCATTTGACCATATTTTTATTTATCTCATTTATGAGAGTGCCTTTGCATTTGATTTTTTGTACACCTGCAAGTATACCACCTCTATTAACCTAGAAATGTTGTGGCTATCATGTTCGATTAGTGATTGCCTAATATACCTTCTTCTTCCAATAAGAAACACTGGATTTCTTAATAAATTATGGCTGCACCTGTTTTTGTTTCATATGCACGCATAATTCTTCGATCGGATGTCTTTGTAAAAATATTATCCATTTTGACACTAGTTCACTTGAAAGTTTTTCATTTCCACTGGTAGTGCAAGCTGACTTTCAGTTGTTATTTATCATCCCAGTCATACTCATCCAGGTTCAATAAAACTACTTGTATACGAGGGAGTGAGAGATACTTCTCTTTCAAACCCTTTGCCTGTGCAGATCAACGATATCATCAATTCTGATATAGTCTTAACATCATATGATGTGCTTAAAGAGGACCTATCCCATGATTATGATAGGCATGAAGGCGATCGACGCTTCATGAGATTCCAGAAGAGGTCTGTTCTTGCCTTGCTGAGGAATGTTCCTTATATTTATGTAATTGCTTCTTTCTTACTTCATAATTAGTCCGTGCAGGATTTTTGGTCAAGGTGTACCATATTCTTTAACCAATTGCTTCTAGAGATGCGCTCTTTTTATATGCTCGACATATGAATCTTTATGCCCTCAATATCTGTGTTTAACTGCATGCTAACAATTTGACTGTGTGTATTGGTATGCTTGTGTTTCTACTTTCAAGTTATCTTGAGTTTTTAACCTGATTGATCATTTCTTCGAAATAGCATTTTTTTAATTCTTTTGGCAACCTGTTTTGGTACCTCTTGAATATGACCACGATGCAACCTTTACTATGCTATTCGATTTATTTTCATTCATGGAGATTAGGGGAAATTTCTCGAGGAAATATTGACGTGTTCTCTTTAATGCAGCTCTCATTTGAAATTGCAAAATTTGACTATGCATGTGGACTGTTCATTTTAGGTACCCTGTTGTCCCTACTCCTCTCACCAGGATCTTTTGGTGGAGGATTTGTTTGGATGAGGGACAAATGGTCGAGAGCAATGCTACTGCTGCTACAGAAATGGCTTCACGGCTTTATGCTAGTCACCGCTGGTGCATTACGGGGACTCCCATACAAAGGAAACTTGAAGATTTATATGGATTACTGCGATTTGTGAAAGCAAGTCCATTTAATGTTCACAGATGGTGGGTTGAAGTTATAAGAGATCCATATGAGGTACGTGGCATTCAATGATTTGTTCAATCGTAGTTAGGGAGAAAGAGTAAAGAAAGAGAGACAAAATGCCACACAAAACCTTTGCTATCACAACAACTCATTCTTAGTTTTTTTATACGTTTTCATTTATTACTTCTTCTTTACGTATTCTTTTGGGATTGTTTCCTAGCTATTTTTGACCCACGTTATTTTTCATTTTTGACATATCGGGTTTCTTTATCTTTCACCGACGACTTTTGCAGAGAAGGGACCCTGGCACTATGGAATTCACACACAAATTCTTTAAGCAAATAATGTGGCGTTCTTTAAAAGTACACGTTACAGATGAATTGCAGCTACCTCCTCAGGAGGAGCAAGTCACTTGGCTGACGTTTTCACCAATTGAAGAGAACTTCTACCAGAGGCAGCATGAAACTTGTGTGAGTTATGCCCGTGAAGTTATTCAAGGTTTGAAAGATGATTTTGTCAAAAGGAAAGTCCCAGGTTGTTAGTGGTTGATTATGACTTCATTCAAGAATCATTTTTCTTTGTTCATCACTATGATCCACATCATAAGGGAAAAGGTGGTTATTATGACTTAACATTATTGTACTGCTAACTTTTTTCAGGCTTTGTCTCTTCTGATGCTCCATCTGATATTCTTATCACCCATGCCGATGCTGGAAAGCTGCTGAACACACTTTTGAAACTTCGCCAAGCTTGCTGTCACCCACAAGTAGGAAGTTCGGGACTTCGCTCATTGCAACAATCCCCAATGACAATGGAGGAAATTTTGATGGTATTCCTCAAGTAAAGATACGAGTTTTCACGAAATCTGGTGTAAAACTTTACTCTAAGTGGTTTCATTTCTCAGGTCCTTGTTAGTAAGACCAAGATAGAAGGAGAGGAAGCTCTGAGGAGGACAGTTGTTGCTTTAAATGCACTTGCTGGAATAGCTATAATCGAGAAGAAATTTTCTGAAGCCCTCTCACTATATAAAGAAGCTCTAGAATTGGCAGAGGAAAACAATGAAGATTTTCGCGTAGATCCTTTGTTGAGCATTCACATCCATCACAATCTTGCTGAGATACTACCATTAGCCATGGACCAGATACAATCTCCTTTAAAAGATCAATTTTATCCAAGAACTTGTGAAGTGAAGGCCTCCAGGATGGATGATTCTGAAAAGTCCGATAATCATATCATAAAGAAACAAAAAGTCAACGGGACCCTGTATGTGCCTTGTAGTGATACCGAGAAGATCATCGACAGTCCTCTTGAGCTGACAGGACAAGATGAGAACGCCAAAAAGGAGGAGAATTACGAGCCTCATCGGTCAAGTAATTACTTCAATGATAATTATTTAAGAAAAGCATGCGAGGATATGAGGCAGAAATATCTAGCTGTCTTTTCCTCGAAGCTATGTATTGCCCAGCAAGAGTTCACAAAGTCCTACGTGCAGGTATGTTTCTATGTCCTGCTAACTTACTCTAGGCTGTTACAATGTGTATATCATCATTCATGATATAGTTTTGTGTAATATCATTTTTGCAGTAAAAATTGATGGTATGCTACCATTATGTCCGACTATTGAGTTGCTTATTGATCCTTTTATTCCTGGACACTTGAGATGTAGTTTAGTTCTTTCCAATGGATAGTATTGGTGTATGTTCTAGCAGATACCTTAGTTTTTCCAGCCATTTAGTGATGATTATTACATATATGATATTTCTCTAATTTCCATGCCTTATTTTTTCAATACAAAATGAAGGTCTGCAATGAACTCAAGAGCAGGGAAAATCTTAACGAAGTTTGGTGGTTACAAGCAGTTCACCATGCTGAACAGAACAAGGACTTCTCGCACGAGTTGATAAGAAAGATTGAAGAGGCTGTATCTGGAAACCTTAACAATTCGAAATCTAGAGTGGGATCTCGGTAAATGATTACAAACTCTATGCATTCTGTCATGAATACAAATTATTTTTTATGGTATGTATATTGCATGAATACTAATGGATTTTTTAGCTTGATAACAGTTTCCGCAGCATTGATGCTTTGAAGTATCATGTTCAGACTGGTTTGGACCTTTTGGAAGCTTCGAGAAAATTGGTGATTGGTCGACTTTTAGAAATTGATCAGACCATGGAAAGCCCAAAAGATGAAGATATTGAACGTGTTCGATACTGTCAAAATTGTCAGGCCGACAGTAATGGACCACCTTGTGTTCTTTGTGAACTAGACCAACTATTTCAGGTTCTTCTTCCTGATTAGGCCAATTTCCTTGATGCTTGCTCTTTGACTTGCATTATGAATATAAGCTCTCTTCTCTTTGTAGGAATATGAGGCAAGACTTTTCCGGCTCAATACAGTACAGGGAGGAATGGTTACTTCTGTTGAAGAGGCAGTTGAAGCTCAGAAGAAGAAGTCTGCACTTAATCGTTTTTATTGGAGTCTATTGCAACAAAATAAAAACTTAAGTTCATCTAGAGATGGATATGAAGAATCTAACAAAAGAGATGCTGGAGAAAGAGTTGTGGTTAGTTTTTCTTCTTTCCTTACTTTTGTCTTAGAAGTGCCTCAGATTGGTCACATCTGTCTTATGATACGATAATTTAAAGTATCTCGTGATGGAAATCGTGAGCGGTTTGATTTCTTGGCACTTTTTCTTTTTAATATGGCTTATGATATGCAAGAAACCTTATTCAGACTTTGTTGCTCTGATTTTAGGTGTCTAAGCATCCTTCTGAATTGGAGGTTGTTCTTGGTGTTATCAAGAACTTCTGTAAGACACAGCTAGGAAAAGAAAGTATAGCAGCAGCCAACAAACAGCTACACCTTCTGGAGGTATTATTTGGGTATATATTTTGTGAGAAAAATGCCCTTTTAATGTCCTATGTCGATTCTTATATGCTCAATATAGGCGTAAATCGTTTCAAAATTTAAGGATAATTCATGTCCGTGGATTTTTCGTACATTGATATGAAAACCTACTGGATTTTTAACCTTAGCTCGATTGCTCAATTTGTCTAGTACATGCGAAAGGAGTATGGACATGCAAGGTCCTTAGCCATTGCTCAAGCTCAAGTTTTGAATGCTCACGACGAAATTAAGATGGCAACCACGAGATTATGCTTAAGGGGCAATGATGCTGACGACTCAGCTTATGCCATTAGTGAGCACGAGCTTCCTGCAGCTAGTGTCCAATATTCTAGTGATAAGTTCGTGTCCTTGGCTATGTTATCGCGTGTCAAAGGGAAACTTCGTTATTTGAAGGTTAAAACGTTTACCCATTTGTTTACTGCATTGAAAGTTTCATATTTAGAATCGTTATGAGTACACCGTGCTTAGGCCTCTGATCCAGTCCTTTTTTTTTTCTTGTTTTATTATCTTTCCATTCGTATTTTACATCGTTGTTACTCATAATTTCTATTGTTTCCAGGGTTTGGTGCAATCTAAGCAAAACATACCATTAGGTAGTTCTAGTAATCCAGCATCAACTCAAGTACCGGATATCACATCTACATCTGTGGAACAAAAAAGTGAGAACACATTGAAAGCTGATGAAGAATCATGCCCTGTTTGCCAAGAAACACTAAGCAATCAAAAGATGGTTTTTCAATGTGGACACATTACATGCTGTAAATGTTAGTATTGATTTTTACATCAGTGCTTGTCTTTTGAGTATCCAGCACTAAACAAAGCACCATGGATACCTAAAAACCCCCTTTTCTGAATGCTTAGTACATTATATATTGTAACTTGTAATGGCATTTGTTTCCCACAGGTTTGTTTGCAATGACTGAAAAGAAATTGCGTGATAGTACAATTCAAACCAAATGGGTGATGTGCCCAACCTGTCGCCAACACACAGATTTCGGGAATATCGCTTACGCGGATGATAGTAAAAATGCAACACTTGATCCTTCAACTTTGCACAAAACTTCCAGGGAGGATGAAAGGTCCATTAGAGTTCAGGGTTCCTATGGAACGAAGGTTTGGAGTCCTACTTAACGCTTCTTAATTCAATTTACTTTCATTCACCGTTTACCTGATGCCTAATCTGGTGCATAAACAATATTGGGGCAATTGTGTGAGATCCCACGTCTAAAGGGAAAGCCCGAGGACAATATCTGCTAGCGGTGAGCTTGGGTCGTTACAAATTGGGTCCTTGTTTTGTTTATTGTCTTATTTGCATGTTTCCCTTTAGATGTTCCCATCCTTATTCGGTTGAATTTGTTTATTGCGTTAACTCGTTCACAGATGGCTCCATTTTTATGCTGTCACTTCTCGAGTTAAGGTCCTTCAAACAAAAAAAAAAAATAGAGAGAAAAAACTTCATCATATTAGTCTTTGTATCATTTGTCCAATTGTTTTTCTGTTGTAATAATACTTGCAATCTACAACCTTCTGTAGATTGAAGCAGTTGTAAGGCGAATCTTGTGGATCAAGTATACAGATTCTGAGGCCAAAGTTCTCGTTTTCTCTAGTTGGAACGATGTTCTTGATGTTTTACAATATGCCTTTGCTGCCAACAACATTACCTTTGTCAGGATGAAAGGAGGCAGGTGAGATGATATCAGATGCAGTATGAAAATTTCAATAGATCAAATTCAATTGTGTACCGTACCTTTTCTTTCCAAATCTCCACTCCCTTTGCATCATCGGCAGCGGGTTTTTTTCTGGGGAGGTGGGGTGGGTTGTGGAGCTCCGTAGAAGGTTAGTTTACTTTCAAAGCGGGCTAGTCCCCGAAAATGCTCGTTCCTTTGACGTTGAGACTGATAATTCACCTTGTGACTCATTCCTTCGGTCAAGCGTTTTTCGGATGTCGATCATTCTATTACAGGCTGCTCTGTCATTGTCTGATTTTTTTGTAAACTACTTTACGTTGTTCAACGTTGTACTGTAATATTGGACTTTGCAAATGCAGGAAATCTCATACAGCCATTAGTGAATTTAGAGGACAGAAGATCAATGCAAAAGAAAATCACAAGAAACAGCCATTAGCAGAGGTTCCAGAACTTAGATCTGCTCAGGTTTTGTTGCTCTTGATTCAGCATGGAGCTAATGGCCTGAACCTTCTAGAAGCTCAACATGTTATCCTTGTGGAGCCACTGCTCAATCCAGCTGCAGAAGCGCAAGCAATTAGCAGGGTACACCGAATTGGACAGCAAAATAAGACGTTTGTTCACCGCTTCATAGTATGTACAGCTCCCTCTTTTTACAGTCCAAAAGAGTTTTCACCAAAGCACAGTTCAAATGGCAGACATATAATTTAGTTTTGGGTTCTCTTTTTGGGGTCATTATAGGTTAAAGACACAGTGGAAGAGAGCATACACAGTCTTAACCGAAGCAGAGAGAGTTCTTCCTTCATCACTGGAAATACAAAGAACCAAGATCAGCCCGTTTTTACGCTTAAAGAAGTCGAGTCTCTGTTTGCATCCAGACCATCACCATTGAGGGAAAGTGATGAGAAGGAAAGTGAAACGCTAAGGCATTTGGCTCCTTCCATGGCTGCTACTATTGCAGCTGAGAGGAGACTCAAAGAGCATACAGCGTAGGATGTTTTATTCATGGATTCTAAATTATGTTCCTTCTTTCCCTCTCATCAAACATGGGAAGTCGCTACATTGCAATGCCTTTCATTTGTAAACTATTAGGATCGTGTACATATTGGAAAACAGTTCAATGAAGACTAGAAACCGACTGATTCTCAGTAAATTAGCACTTAGAAATCCTACAGTAGAGAACCCTCTACGTAAATGTAACGATGTGGAGTGGGATTACAGACTGCAGCAACCAGTGTCGAGGCAAAACAACTCACAATAACATTTTCGTCAGCTCAAGAGAGACTCAACAGAACTTCCAATGGTTATTGCAGTTTACACAAGTAACAAAGGTGGTCATAGGTTCATCAGCACTCCGTGTCTGCAATTGGTAGTAGGTTGTTTTGCGCTGACCGCATCGACCACACTTGAATTGATCGGTAGTAGCTTTTGGAGCTCCTCCACGCTCACAATCGAATAAAGCTTTCTGTTCAATCTCTTCATTTTCACGTTTTCTCTGATCGCTTGCCATATCAGCTGTGCTCATATTGATCAGCCTTTCTGGCTTTATAAGTCCAAGAAGAACTTTTCTTCGAAAGTCTGGGTTCTTCGGATCCTTGAGGTTAAACATTATAGATCTGTACTTGGTCTTCTGTGAGCCAGTAGAACCTCCCCAATTTTCAAACATCACGGATTCTACCGAAACAGCAACCCGAATCGGATCACTTGCATTTACTTCATCCATAACATCTTCATCAGCCTCACTAGGAACTTTGGAGAAAGCCTCGAAGAGAAGTTCTCTTATTTTGTCTCGAGCAGCATCTTTTGATTTAATCATGGAAGTAAGCTTTGGAGGTGCATCAGTGCCACTTAATGGTTTCTTTTCTTTTGAGATTCTCTTCTCTTCTTTAACTATCCTTTCAACCTTGACCACTGAATCAGTTTTCTCAACCTTAACAGAGTTTTCCACCGAGATGTCGCTTTCCGATCTGGAAAATTTTGCAGAGCTTGCGACACCATTTCTATCGAATTGCTCGACCTGGGAAACTCTCTCAACCTTCATGGAAGATGATTTTCTAAACTTCTCCACCTTAACGGACTCCGCACTGGGAGAACCAATTTTAGGCAACTCTTTACTGTCGATGTTCCCATTTTTCTTATTCTTGTTAGTCTCCTTGATTACTATTTCCTTCCATATCTCAATCAGATCAGAAGCATAGTACTGTATTTTCTTCTTGGGGTGCTTAGTGAGGTGCCGAAGGCGCTTCCCGACCTAAAGAAGACAAGATACAGAAGCTATCAATGCCGGCAAAGTGACCTCAATTTCACAGGAAAAGGTCATAGCAAGACATATAGCGCCAGAATTATCTCCCCAAAACTTAAAAGGGTCACAAAGTTAGAGATGGCTTCGTTATATGAATGTGAACAACTCAAATAACAAATGAAATAGAGTGAACTCGCCTAGTCATGAAACCAATTCGTAGAAAAGCAAACAATGAATTTAGGGTTAATTCTTGATAAAAAGCATGTATGATTTTATGAACTAGTCGGCTGTTAACATTTTCAGTATCCATCAACCATCAACAAAAGAAACTAATTTCAAGTCAAAGGAGAAGAAAACCTGAGTGGAAACAAGGATTTGATAAGTAACAGGAAATTTCTTGAGCTGACGTAGGGCATCTAGGCAGCGACTTTCTTCGGCTCCCCCATCATCATTCGATGGTGCTGCAGCGGCGTCTGCGGCCTTTTTCGCCGCTTCAAATAACTCCACCAGCTCACTCTCCATCGAATCGCTGCCAACTTGGGATTTTTTATATTATCTATCCAACACATTCGAAGAAAAGAATAATCAGGCCCCAACAACAACAACAAGAAAACGGAAAGGTACAAACATACGCATACAAAATCGGGTATTGCAACCAAACTCGCATTCGACCTCGTTTCTCAATAAACAAGCAAAAGAATAGCACTGAATCAAAAGACATCCAAGTGCCGATGGCAAATGATAGATATCGATGAGTATCACTTACAGAGAACTGAATCGCCAGCAGAAAAACGCTCGCAATCCCACAGTAAATCAAAGAAAACCAAAACAGAAAAGGGGAAACTCAACCACAATCGGCTACAGGATAAACCCCCTTTTCAGCGGAGAGACGGCGGAGACAACAGAGAAATAGAAATTAACCCTCGAGGAAGAAGTAGATGTGAGCTAGATCCGACGGCCACAGCCGAAAAACGTGGCGTACAGGATAATGGTAAGATCTACCCATTTATCCATAGACTGCGAGAGAAGAGGATGGGGTTTTTGGTAACGACGTCGTTTTTCGGATCATCACTCGCCAACTCAAGGCACCGAGTTTTATCGCATCAAGATCATCGGACTTGTTACATTTTTAACCTTTACAAATATGCCATTTTTCTTTTATATACGCTTAAAAAATTATTTGCGGAGAAATCTATTAAAGAAATCAGCATCGCTAAATTTAGAAGTATAAAAAAAAATTTAACCTTGTAAGATAAATGTTCATATAAATCTAGTTTAGCTTAGCCAATCATATAATGACAGTACTCTAGCAAATAATTAAACTTAACCATTACTTGATTCACCTATTCTATATGTTTAAACAAATTTGAATTTATTTCTTTTTTTTAAAAAATAAATTTCTCTCTCAAAAAACTAGGCTCTACTCGGCAAATATGGAATTTAAATTCTTTATTGTTCAACGAAATTCTTTTCCTAAAAAAATGTGAAAATTTTATTAAAATTTTAAATTTGTTTTTATAATTTCTAAAAATAGAAGCTGGGGTCTCTCTAAGGCATGGGAAAAGGAAAAGATCCTAGAAAATAGTACATAGGGATAAGAAAAAATATCAACCACACTTGAAAACGATAAAATTCCAACTCAGTTTAATGAAAAACAAAGTCTATTACAAAACATGTTATTCCAACGAACTCTGCAGTTTGCCCATTTGCGGCAATCAACTGATACTTATTAACAAAATTAAAAGCTGGGTCGAGTCGAATAACAATTTATGCCTCTTGTGGCTTATCGAAGAACGTTTTCTTGATCCAGTCGAATGGCTGCATAGGGTTTTGTCAAAAGAGAAATGGGAATGGTTAGATTCGAAACATATTAATGGTACTAAGAAATTGGAATGATTGTATACACTTCATTCTCTACAGATATATATATAATATATACATAATGGTACTGACATCTCCAGCATAACCCAGAAAACCCCTTTTTATCAACAAAGAAAATAGCACGGTACAGAAACAATTGAAACCAACTGTTTGAACGAGAATGAATATTTCAAAACTCAAAACAATTTAGTTTGGTTGCAGCCTCTTGAGACAATCAGGGAAAATGTACGGAATTATGTCTTTTTCTAGCACACAGCAAAGCATTTCCAATTGCAATTGACATTATTTGTTAAACCTTAAATCCAATTGTATGGGCCCTATCAGCTTTGGCATTAGCCCTCCATATGATTGGTTGATAGAAGGAAGATCAAATTTGAATTTGATAATAGCAGAAATGCAGTGTGGTATTTACCCTACGGAGAAGCTTATAAAGCTTCCTATGCTAGAAAGAAACATTGTAACATTGTGAGAGAAGGTGATTCGATAAAAGAATGAAATAGAGAGAACATGTTTTGAGCATGCCAATACTTGGATGCAAAATGAGTGCCAGATCCAAGGAGTGATTGATAGTCTTGATGGCAGTCAGGATTATGAATTTGAACGGCAGAATCACTGGAAATTTTGCACCAGTTACTAGAAAGTTCACTGCTGGATTAAAACCAAAGGTAGAAGCCAATTACAGTGATGAAACTATGGGACGAGGGAAGGACTGTAGAAACAGCAGGGGGGGTAGAGGATCAAGACTATTCCACAGGTAGGATCGCCAGCCTCCGTGAGTAGCTGCTAAAAGCTCCATAACATTGAAGTAAATTGAACTTGGGACTGGATTCGGAAGTATACCAAACTTTCAATGTGGAACCAGAGAGTATGATCATGGGGATGGCAAGACGTCGAGCCACAGATAATGACCTACTACAAATTTTTAGAAACGCGAGAGATTCAAGGCCTAAATGGTGTTTTATATAGAGAGATACGACTTTACTTGAACAAGATCTATATTGTGACATTCAACGTAAAGCAACTACATCCAAATGTTGTCATTCTAGGAACGGGCATGTCTTTGGCGGCATTTATGGTTACTTCATTCTGTTCCCATCGGAGAATATTTTGAACGTGGAAGAGAAAATAAATCTCCTAATCTTTGTTTTCAATTTGCTTCATACTAGAGAGAAAAATAAGAAATGATTACCGAACACACAGATATACATACAACTATGCTTTTCGAAAACACAGTGTGCAGAAACCATGAGAAGCTTGATAATTCAAAAAGAGTTCCGACAGGGCCAGTATAATCTTGTGCTCGATCAATGACGAAAGAGAAGAAAATAGTAAGAGAAAACAAATATAAATAAATAAATAAATAAATAGCTCTCTCAGATCCTCACGATATGTATTGCCCATAGACACCATAGTTCATAGGAATACATTTCTTCCAGATCTCAACTACGAATGGCCAGCTGAAAATGATATCTAATCCCGTAACCAAAATTAACGCTGGTGGCAAAGTAAGTCAAAGATAAATTGTGAAAATAGAAATAACAAATACGCTACGGTAAATCGTCCAAGACTAGAAATAGAAATCGTTAACGGAATCAAGAATCAACTTTCAAGAAGATCGATGCATCCTTTATTCTAACATAGAGAGTCAAAAGATCCACTACATAAATCTCCGAAAACCAGAAATAATAGTACAGATCAATGAATTTAGGAAAGGAAAAAACCTGAACGACCCATAGAGCAGTTGTGGCAGCGGCGACACCCCAGCCGGCGGCGGCTTGGATGTCCGTGGATTGGAAACGGCGTCCCGGGCTCAAGAACTTGAACAAAGTTGATTCACCTGCCATTTTTTCTCTCTGAATTCCTCTTCCAATTCTGATGGTAAACCTAATACAAAATCCATGAAGTTTTTATAAGAAGGATTCGGTTCTAGCCACCATATCAATCGGGAATCAATTTTTGACCGTCGGATTCTTCTGATGAGGTGGACTTCACCTTTTCAAAATCAGAATGCTCCACGTGTCATCGTGATTGATTGACAATAGTCTTCTCCATTCTATTCTTTTTCTTACATTGTAAGAGGGCAAAATAGTCATTTAACTTTTCAATATATATGAACAGATTCACGATGAAACATGGGACAATTAAGGTCGCTTGAATATATGGGCCTATAGCGGATCGCAACCCGAGCCCCAGATCCTAATCTAGGCCCATTTATCTTGAGCGGCCCAACTATTTGAACCTCCAGGCTCGACATAGAAATACTACTTTTTGTAGCCATTTTCTTGGAACAGTTAAAGGTATACAAATATGACAACCAGAAAAACAAAAAAACAAAAAAAAAACAAAAAAAACAAAAAAAAAAAATCAATAATTTAATAAAATGATGAATTTTTAAATATTTTAGAACTGTATTGACCTAATCTTAACGAGTTAAAAGACAAAAAAAATTGAATGCATGTGTTGGAACCCATCGTACATAAAAATTCTATATGAACTTTTATATTTAAAATACGTGAAGTTGACCATTATCAATATAGCTCGGTCCATAATAATATAATTTATATTTTCAACTGATTGAATTTATTTTGTGCAGAGATAAATTAATAATTCAATTATATACATGCCTAATAAATATTTGTTCGTGGTAATAATATTTTTATTAACAGGATTATATATTTTTGGATATTTTTTATTAACAAAAAATGTAATATATTTTATTATATTAAATTTAGATAGGAGTGGGATATTATTGCTGGCACGTTTTTTAACACGCCAATGGTAAGAAAAGTAAAAGCCAACCGTGAATTGGTTTGTCGTCTTCTTGTCCGGAGTTTTGCTGCCTCGTGAGAATATATAGGATTTTTAAAATTATTTAAAAATTAAATTTTCCCTGTATTTACAGGATATTTTATTTTATTTAAAATATAAACATTTCTCACCACTTATTCGATTATGGGTAGTATACCCATAGATTATCCAACTCCACCCGACCCGGCCCACTTACACATCACATTCTCCACATTCTGTTTCTGTTAGCCCTTGGAATTAGCATACCCTTTTCGGGGAACGCTAAACGGCGTACCAGGCTGTCGGCGTCAATTGCACGCCGTTTCCTCACGCCGTTCGAGTTCCCTCGGGCCCCACCACTTTAAATATTTCGCCTACCTTTTTTTTTTTTTTTCCGTTTTTTATGATTTAACTGCTCTGTTAACTTTGACTTTTCTTTATTATTAAAGTACGAGAATTTCGTTGGCATTTTTTTTCTCTTCTTTTAATTGATATTATATGATTTAAAAATTAAATACGACTGACAAATTATACTCTTTCTTTTTCGGAAAATTATCAAATTTTAATATTTTTAGAAAATTACACGTGTCATTTATTTTATGAATTTTTAGACAAAAAAAAAAAACAAAAAGGCGGTAGTCTGCAGTAGAGGAAAAAATAAAACGAAAAAGGGGAAATGTTACCTTTTTTGCCCTTAAAGCATGCACTACATGTCGTTGGTCCCTCTGACACTGTCATCCAAGCGACCCAGTCCAGTTACGACATGTCGGTTACCAACACAAGCGAGGATGAGAGAGAAGCCAGATAAGGAAAAAATGATGAGATCCAAGCTCCATGAATCATTACATATGAGGGTTCAGATTAATATTGTACTGAAACTTTAGCTGACGTCATATATACATAAATATTTTCATTGCATACCAATATACGAAAGTAATTTGAATAATTGTAAAAAATTCTAAACATGAAAAGTTTAATAATTTTTTTTAGCATAAATAACAACTTGAAATGATATATAGAATTGGAATGATAAATGCATTCTATAATCATTAATTAGAAGGAAATTAAAGATGGTATAAAAATGTAAGCAAAAGGGAGAGAATGGAGGAGCAGTAGGGTTTGGATAGGGGTGAGGTCCCCTCTGAGACTGACTGCCCTCTCCCCTGCCCTCCCTCTTTTAAGGGAAGCATTTAATTCAAAAGCTGCTCAAAGGACTCTTTTGCTTCATTCACTCACCCACCTACAATTTTCCCCTTTTCTTTTTTTCTCCTGATTTATTTTACCAACAAATTTCTATTTTAATTGCTACATAAAATTGGGGCAAAACAAGCTCAATATAAGTTAAATGGATGTTTTGGAATAAGAAATTTGGGGCAAAGGGCTCGATTGAGGTGAGACCTTTCCCTTCACCTTGAGCAGTAGGTCGGACCTAGGTTAACTCAATTCAACCTCTTTAGACCTTATTCGGGACGGAAACATAAATCGTATAACATATGTTGTACGGATGACTTGATGAATGTGGTGATTTAAAATATGAACTTCTGAACTCCAACTATTAAAAGAAGAATCCCTTCATTATTATAAACTAAGTTTCTACAACTTCACCGCCACTCTACTTTCTCCTTCCACCTTGCTTTTATTGCACTTATTTTGTAAATACCGTTTCTACCCCTCCCACCGCCCACTATTCCCACCAACCTGCTTTTATGGCTGCTTTCTTTCTTTTCCTTTGCTTTATTTTCGTATCACCTAACTACACGCACACCCAACTCCTTTTCCCCTCTCTACCTTTCGCCTCCAAATTCGTCAATTTTACTTAAATTGCCACTGCTCCTTAATTATTATTGACTTCAAAATTAAATCATATCCAAAAACAGACGAGATCATAATAGTACATAGATTTTATTTATTAATAAAGAGAGTTAAATATTTAATTAAACCAATCATGGTTGAAGCGTTGATGAATTAAATACTAATCTAATTATCATTACACAATTCGGGAATTAACTGTTGTTAGTTTCTCGTTAATCTTTCCTTCGGTCAATCTCTCCGCCGTTGAAAAGTTGAGATGACAAGTCGGGTGGTAAAACGGTAATTATGTGAAAAAAAGAAGGGCGTTTGCGTAGTTCGTCGATAATTGGCATTCCAAGCTCAGCTAATGAAGATGTGCCACGTGTACCACCATGTCAAAAGCCATTTTGGCTGAAAAAGACTACGTGTTTGCCACATCGGAGGCCTTACCACTCTGGCAGAACCACGTGTCCATAATCTGTATTGATTGAGACCTCGTCTCCCCCTCGGCGCCCCACTTCGCTTTTTTCCGTTGATAAAGAATAAAACTTCCATTTATTTTTCCCTTTCAGAAATGGATTACAGAGCGAACTAGAGAGAGAGAGAGAGAGTGTTAGTGAAGGAAATGTTTAGATGCTATATACTCTGGTTTGAGCTGAAGCAACTTATTTGAAGCTCTGAGTTAAAGGCTTTTTTTTGTTCTTCGTTAACCAACGAGGGGGGGTCTTTATATTTCTTCGTTCCGTTCTTTGCTTCTGTTCATGTGATTCTTCTTGCTAACTCTAAATCTAGCCGTTCGAAGCAAATTTGTCGTTTCCTTTTTACATTTTTCTTTCTGCGACGGAAAATTTTGAGGTCTTGTAGCTGGGGATACTACTGATTTTTGGGTGCTTGGTAAAGTTTTGAGTTTTTGGCATGGCTTTGGGGTTTCTTTGAAATTAGCGCATAGTGGTGCCATTTTTGAAGATGAGAAGGCTACTGGGGCTGTTCGTCTTGTTCGTTGTGGCTCCGGTGTTGGTGAGATCTCTGAACCCACCTCTGAACGACGACGTTTTGGGCCTGATTGTGTTCAAGGCTGACATTGAAGACCCTAAAGGGAAACTCGCGTCGTGGAATGAAGATGACGATAACCCCTGTAATTGGGTTGGTGTAAAATGCAACCCCAGATCCAATAGAGTTGTGGAGCTCGATCTTGATGGCTTCTCTCTCAATGGCAGGCTTGGCCGTGGTCTTCTTCAGCTGCAGTTTCTTCGTAAACTCTCTCTTTCGAACAACAATCTTACTGGAAATTTGAGTCCCAATAATGCTCGCTTTGAAAATCTGCGAGTGGTCGATTTAAGCGGCAACGGTTTTCATGGGATGATTCCGGACGATTTCTTCCGGCAATGTGGGTCGTTGAGAGTAATCTCTTTGGCTAAGAACAAACTTTCAGGGAAAATCCCCGAAAGTTTGGGCTCTTGCGTCAGTCTTGCTGCTGTTAATTTATCTTATAATCAGTTTTCTGGTTCATTACCTTCTGGGATTTGGTCCTTGACTGGGCTTCGGTCCTTGGATTTATCTGGTAATGTTTTGGAAGGTGAAATTCCACTGGAGGTGAAAGGTATGAATAATTTGCGAGCTATTAATTTGGGGAAGAATCGGTTTTCTGGACAGATCCCAGATGGGATTGGGAGTTGTTTGCTCTTGAGGTCTGTTGATCTCAGTGAGAATTCTTTCTCCGGCGACATTCCGGCGACAATGCAGCGGCTTAGTTTGTGCAGTACTCTTAATTTAAGAAGAAACCTATTTGAAGGGAAGGTTCCTGAATGGATTGGTGAAATGGAAGGCCTTGAAATCTTGGATCTTTCAGGGAATAGATTTTCTGGTCCGGTTCCAAGTTCATTCAGGAATCTTCAAAATCTGAAGGTTTTGAATCTTTCTGAGAATGGTTTAATTGGCAGCTTGGCAGGGTCCGTACTTCCTTCTCAAAACCTTTCAGCCATGGATCTCGGCCATGGCTCTCTCACTGGTGTGCTTCCGGCCTGGATTCTGAAGCTGGGTTCTCAAAATGTATTGCCTTCTGATGTCAAAAGAAGCTCTCTTTCTACACCTGTGGGAAAAGCTCTTGTTAATCTTCAAGTGTTGGATTTGTCTCACAATGCACTTTCTGGTGAAATTTCACCTGAGATTGGGATATTAAGTAACTTGCAGGTGTTGAACCTGTGTAAGAACTCATTTGCTGGGGCTATTCCAGAGAGTGTTGGAGGCATGAAGGGCTTGGTTTTTCTTGACTTGAGTGAGAACCAGCTGAATGGAAGCATTCCCGGAACGCTCGGCGGAGAGGAATCGTTGAAAGAATTGAGACTGGAGAAGAATTTTCTGGAAGGTGAAGTTCCAAATTCGATTGGGAACTGTTCTTCACTTGTAACTTTGTAAGTGGTCTTTGCTCTGATGTTTCATTTGA